ATTAAGAATGTAGATGCAGCCGGGCGCAGGGGCTCACGCCTGTAATCCCAGCACTTTGGGAGGCCGAGACGGGCGGATCACGAGGTCAGGAGATGGAGACCATCCTGGCTAACACTGTGAAACCCCGTCTCTACTAAAAGATACAAAAAACTAGCCGGGCGAGGTGGCGGGTGCCTGCAGTCCCAGCTACTCGGGAGGCTGAGGCAGGAGAATGGCGTAAACCCAGGAGGCGGAGCTTGCAGTGAGCTGAGATCCGGCCACTGCACTCCAGCCTGGGCGACAGAGCGAGACTCCGTCTCAAAAAAAAAAAAAAAAAAAAAAAAAAAAAAGAATATAGATGCAGTAGCTCTAAATAAAGTATTAGCCAAACAGACACAGCAATATGCATAAAAATACACATTATGCACAGCAATATGCATAAAAATATATCATTAGCAAGTTGAGTTTATTCTAAGACTGCAAGATTGATTAAATGTTAGAATAGCTGTTAATGTATTACATTAACAGTTTATAGGAGAAGCATAATCATATCAACAGATGAGAAAAATGTTTGATAAAATTCAACACTCAAAATAATCAAACTAGAAAGCAGACAGGAACTTACTTAAACTGAAAAAACATAAATACCAAAACCTATAGAAACAGATACATATGTAATTGTAAATCCATGGTAACATACTTTTGAAAACAGGATTAACACAAGGATACCCGTGGACAGTGACTCTATTCATCAAAGCGTGTATTGGAAGTCCCTGCCCGTAAAGTAGGACATAAGGATATAAGGAGAAGAAACATAAGGATTAGGATGGAAAGAAATAAAGTTGTTATCATTTATCATGAGTGGATCATCCACATACAGAAAAATCTAAGAGACTCAAAAGACATTACTAATAAGAACTGAGCAACTTTTGTTGGATATAAGATCAACATACAAAAATCTATTGCTTTATTAATACTAGCACATAAATAGAAAACGCCTTTGAAAATAAAGTTTTCATTTACAGTAGCAACAACAGCTATGGGATACCTAAACAACAATTTAACATAAGACACAGCTAATTATAACACCTTATTTAACTGGTGTGAGATGGTATCTCATTGTGGTTTTGATTTGCATTTCTGTGATGGTGAGGGATGATGAGCATTTTTTCATGTGTCTATTGGCTATATGAATGTCTTCTTTTGAGAAGTGTCTGTTCATATCCTTTGTCCACTTTTTGATGGGGTTGTTTGTTTTTTTCTTGTAAATTTGTTTGATTTCTTTGTAGGTTCTGGATATTAGCCCTTTGTCAGATGAGTAGATTGCAAAAATTTTCTTCCATTCTGTAGGTTGCATGTTCACTCTGATGGTAGTTTCTTTTGCTGTGCAGAAGCTCTTTAGTTTAATTAGATCCCATTTGTCAATTTTGGCTTTTGTTGCTGTTACTTTTGGTGTTTTAGACATGAAGTCCTTTCCCATGCCTATGTCCTGAATGGTATTCCCTAGGTTTTCTTCTAGGGTTTTTATGGTTTTAGGTCTAACATTTAAGTCTCTAATCCATCTTGAATTAGTTTTCATATAAGGAGTAAGGCAAGGATCCAGTTTCAGCTTTCTACTTATGGCTAGCCAATTTTCCCAGCACCATTTATTAAATAGGGAATCCTTTCCCCATTTCTTGTTTCTCTCAGGTTTGTCAAAGATCAAATAGCTGTAGATGTGTGGTATTATTTCTGAGGACTCTGTTCTGTTCCATTGGTCTATATCTCTGTTTTGGTACCAGTACCATGCTGTTTTGGTTACCGTAGCCTTGTAATATAGCTTGAAGTCAGGTAGCATGATGCCTCCAGCTTTGTTCACACCAGTTAGAATGGCAATCATTAAAAAAATCAGGAAATGACAGGTGCTGGAGAGGATGTGGAGAAATAAGAACACTTTTACACTGTTGGTGGGAGTGTAAACTAGTTCAACCATTGTGGAAGACAGTGTGGCGATTCCTCAAGGATATAGAACTAGAAATACCATTTGACCCAGCCATCCCATTACTGGGTATATACCCAAAGGATTATAAATCATGCTGCTATAAAGACACATGAACACGTATGTTTATTGCAGCACTATTCACAATAGCAAAGACTTGGAATCAACCCAAATGTCCATCTGTGACAGACTGGATTAAGAAAATGTGGCACATATACACCATGGAATACTATGCAGCCATAAAAAAGGATGAGTTTGTGTCCCTTGTAGGGCACGACTCACAGTTGACTCACAGTTCCACGTGGCTGAGGAGGCGTCAGGAAACTTATGATCCTGTCAGAAAGCAAAGGTGAAACAAGGCACATCTTACATGGCAGCAGGAGAGAGGGAGAGTAAAGGGGAAACTACCACTTTTAAACCATTAGATCTCATGAGAACTCCCTCACTATCATGAAAACAGCATGGATAAAATCACCCTAACGATACAACCTCCTCCCACCAGGACCCTCCCTCGACACGTGAGGATTACAATTCAAGATGAGATTTAGGTGGGGACACGGAGCCAAAGTATATCACTGGTTAAGCCAAGGAAACAAATTCTCTCCTAGAGCCTCCAGGAAGGAACCCAACCCTGGGCACACATTTGATTTTATGTTAGTGAGGCTTACGTCAGACTTCTGAACTACCGAAATATAAGATAATAAATTTGTGTTATTTTAGACCACTAATTTCGAGATAATTTCTAATGACAGCTATAGAAAATGAATACAACTGCTTCACAAAGAAATTTTGGAACATCTACAAAGTCAACTCCTAGGGACATACCCAGTGCTTTGCCACTTAACTATGTGGTCCAGGGACCATCAGTGTCACCTGAGAGCTGGTTAGAAATTCAGACTCTCAAACCCTACCTCCAACCTGTTGAATCAACATCTGTGTTTTAAAGATATGCCCAGTGACTTCTAAGCACATTAGACTCAGAAACACTACCCTATGAAATATCTCTCATTTTTGCACAGAGACAGTTATTTCAGCATTATTGATTATAGCAACGAATAATAACAACATAATGTCTTTCAATCACAGAGTGTATATAAATAAGTTGTTGCATATTTATACATTGGAATAACACATGGCTGTGAGAATAAATGAAGGAGAGCTTCTTGGAGGTACAACTTCTACAAAATGTTGAATAGAAAAAAAATAAGTTGCAAAGGGATATGTAGAGTATGATGGTATTCATATAAAATTTTAAAACATCAAAAACCATACTATAAAATGTTTATTGATACCTACGCATGTAATTAAAGTGTAAAAATACTTATAGAGATCATAAATACTACCTTTAGGATGATGGTTGCCTCTGGGGAGAAAAGGAAACAAATGGGATGAAAAGCAATTATGATATAAGGTTAAGTTTTGACAAATCTGGTTGGTAGGCACACCAATGCTCCTTATATTATTGCCTACAATTGTTTGATGACTTGAACTATTTCATAATTTAAAAGAAGGTATTATTTACTAATGGAATTTATAAGATTTCTGCAAAAGTTCTGCATTTATTTTTGTATTATTTGAATGAAATTCAAGTCAGCTGAAAATGACTAATCTAGGGTTTTTCCCTTCAAGGCTCCCAGGGCCTGTAGTGAGTTTTGTAACAAAATGCCACACAATAGTTTCCTGTCTTAGATGGCAACTACAGTCCCTTTTAACGTGACCATTTTTAGCAGTTGATCAGTATGTCCTCATAACTAAGTTCTATGATCTAATGTGGGCTGTACAAATTGGGTATTGCATTAAAAAAATTCCTGATCTTTTAAGGAGACACTCATAGTAAAATAAACAAAAAACAAAGCAAATTGTTGAAAATTAAATTATTGAAAATAAATACTGGTGAACACAACATTTTAAAGAAAACTGTAAATATTTCCAACAATTTGTATTCTGGAGAACATGATAAAACCTGCTTTAGACTTATTCTATGAACTACATGTGGGGAAAAAAATTCTCATTTTTTATTGTCTCCCAAATTCATTCAGTTTTATCCAGAATCACACTTTCATTAAATTTAGATATTGATATTCTGAAAATCCTGGTCTTCTTTCTTTAATAATTGTCTTTTATATATAGGCATGTTCCTACCATTTAATGAAGGCCCATATATGTGTAATTCATGCTTATTTGATTCTTTCTGTATATGGCTTCTATATACAAAGCCAAATTTAAAGTAAAAGTAAATAGAGTCAAGAAAATTATTGTTCAAGAAATCCCTAGAAACAATTCCCCTGAGACATTTAACTACTTGTGAGGATTTTGAGAAAAAAAATCCATACCATAAAGTGATAAGCAGATGTTGCCCATATGTTGATTGCAGATAAGTTTCTATACCTTATGTAATATATTTCTTGAGATTTTGCCATTATAAATCTAGTTGTCTATACATATCTTTGAGGAAATTATGTGTGACAAACCAGCTGAGGCTAAACTTCCCTTGAAATAGTGCAGAAATTGTGGATTTAAATTTGCATTACTACTTCTTAAACTATTCATAAAATAAGCATAGTTTCTGTATGTGAGTTGACTAAATTATGATTCTGTATCTTCCAGGAATGTGAATTCATCCCTCTGCACTTTTTCTGTTGTTCAGTTTCATTTAGGTCCATGATTATAGCACTGCTTAGCTTTCATTTAAACATCATCTAAATTTTGTTTATCATCAGTAATTCTTTACTGGAACTGTTTCCTTCAAAAGGGTGTGGTCTGATTACTGTCAGAGTTCCTCTATCCCCATGGTGCATTACTCAGGAAAATTTTTCATTAGTTAATGGTGCTGATTATATCATAAAATATTTCCTTTTGTGGAATCAGAGTAAATCACATTTTAATCTCAGAATAAGGTACCACGTTATTTTTAGTTAAAGAATTGGCCATCAGTCTGTGCTATTTAATGTGTAAGTGCCAATATTATTACATTGGTAATAATGTTATTTCTGTTGCTCATGGCTTGATAAAGTCATCATTTCCTTTATTGTTCCCTTAACAGGTAACACCATGTTGTTGAGAGTGTTACCTGCTGTGTATGAAAAGCAGCCTCAGCCAATTAATAGACACCTGACAGAACTCCTGGCCTTGATGTCTCAGCTGGAACAGCCAGAACAGTACCATCTACTACGGCTTTTGCATGTAGCAGCAAAGAAAAAACAACTCGAGGTAAAAAGTACATTGTATATGTCATGGTCCATGCAACCAGGCATGTTTCTTTGTGTGTGAACAGCATATGTGCTTAGGATTTCCTGTCTCATACATTTATACATGTCCATTTTTAAGTGAAAGCACTCATCTACTTATTATATTTGTATAATGAGAAATTGGCTCATGAAATTATGGAGGCTAAGAAGTCCCATCTGTCATCTGCAAGCTAGATGCCAAGGAAAACCAGTGGCATAATTTCAATTCAAGTCTGAAAGCCTGAGAACTGGAGAGCCGATGGCATAAGTTACAGTCTGAGGACAGGAGAGACCAATGTTCCAGCTCACAAAATCAGGCAGAGAGAGTAAATTCTCTCTTCCTCCACCTTTTTGTTCTTTTCAGGCCCTCAGATAATTGGATGAGGCCCACCCATATTGCAGGGGCAATCTGCTTTATTTAGTCAACCCATTAAAATGCTAATCTCATCTGAAATCATCCTCACAGACACATCCAGAAATAACGTTTAATAAAATACTTGGGTGCCCCATGACCCAGTCATGTTGACATATAAAATTAACCATCACAGGCCAAGCATGGTGGCTCATGCCTGTAAGCTCAATATTTTGGGAGGCTGAGGTGGGTGAATCACTTGAGGCCAGTCTGAACAACATGGTGAAACTCTGTCTATACAAAAAATACAAAAACTAGCAGGGCATGGAGGAGGCACCTGTAGTCCTAGCTACTCAGGAGGCTGAGGTGGGAGAATCACCTGAGCCAGGGAAATTGAGGCTACAGTGAGCCAAAATCATGCCACTGCACTCCAGCCTGGGTGACAGAGTGAGACCCTGTCTTAAAAATAAAGACATAAATAAATAAAAATTAAAAATTAAAAAATTAACCATACAGATACAGTAATGAAAAGCAACAAATGGGCCAGGCAGAGTAATGGCTCATGCCTGTAATCCCAGCACTTTGGGAGGCTGAGGCAGGCAGATCACGAGGTCAGGAGTTCAACCAACATGACCAACATGGTGAAACCCTGTCTCTACTAAAAATACAAAAACTAGCTGGGCATGGTGGTGCGTGCCTGTTATTCCAGCTAGTCAGGAGGCTGAAGCAGGAGAATCACTTGAACTCAGGAGGCAGAAGTTGCACTGAGCCAAGGTTGCGCCACTGCACTCCAGCCTGGGCAACAGAGCAAGACTCTGTCTCAAAAAAATAAAAAATATAAAGAAGAATTAGCCCGGCGTGGTGGCAGGAGCCTGTAATCCCAGCTACTCCGGAGGCTGAGGCAGGAGAATCGCTTGAACCCAGGTGGCAGAGGTTGCAGTGAGCTGAGATCGAGCCACTGAACTCCAGCCTGGGTGATACAGTGAGACTCTGTCTTAAAAAACACAAAACAAACAAACAAACAAAAGGCAAGAGATGTGCGAATCTGTAGCTATTGTAGAATGGCGTTAAAGAAAGTTTAATGTCATCATGCAGTTCTAGGAATCTGTAGTTTCTCAGGTAAGACCAAGAGAAAGAACTATACTTAACTTTATTTGTGAATTAATCAGCCTATAGTGAGAGCAAAGGTTCATTTCTCAGATAGCAAATCAGTTATTGTTCTTTGGATTCAAGTAGAATATTGTAACAATTAGGATGCTTATGATTATCCGTAGTAGAACACCCAAACCACAATAGTTTCATCAATGATAGGAATTTATAGCTAATGTGATGGGAAAAAAAATCAGATGAGGTTTGGTTCAAAAATAATATGAACAAACAATTTCTCTATTTTGATTTCTCAGATTTGACTTCTAGGCTTCCATTTTCCACAGGCTTTCTCCTTGTCATCTCCAAATAGGTGCTAGGGGCTCTCTTGGCACTATGCTTCTCCTACATCTATCACTGCCACCAGCAGCCAACAGAAGTCTTGATATTCTGTCTGTTTAGGATACATGCTCTACCTCTAGAGCTTCTCTTGAACTGGAGGATACACAGACAGAAACTAGAGGCTGCCAGGAAGAGGGAATTCGAAATGGATTTTGGAGAGTACCAATGTGTTATTCCGTTTTCATGCTGCTGATAAAGACATACCCAAGACTGGGAAGAAAAGAGATTTAATTTGACTTACAGTTCCACATGGCTGGGGAGGCCTCAGAATCATGGCAGGAGACAAAAAGCACTCCTTACATGGTGGCAGGAAGAGAAAATGAGAAACCCCATGCAAAAGCAGACAACCCTGATAAAACCTTCAGATCTCATGAGACTTATTCACTACCAGGAGAACAGTATGGGGGAAACCACCCCCATAATTCAAATTATCTTCCACTGCATCCCTCCCACAACATTTGGGCATCATGGGAGTACAATTCAAGATGAGATTTTGGTGGGGACACTGAGCCAAACCATAACACTACATCCCTGGCCCATCCAAATCTCATTTCCTCACATTTCAAAACCAACCATGCCTTCCCAGCAGTCCCCCAAAGTCTTAACTCATTTCAGCATTAACACAGTCCAAAATCCACAGTCCAAAATCTCATCTAAGATAAGGCAAGTGCCTTCTGCCTATGAGCCTGTAAAATCAAAAGCAAGTTACATTGGATAAATACAACTGTTCCAAATGGGAGAAATTGGTCAAAGCCAGGGGCTACAGGTCCCATGCAAGTCTGAAATCTGCAGGGCACTCAAATATTAAAGCTCCGAAATGACCTCCATTGACTCCATGTCTCGCATCTAAGTCACACCAATGCAGGGGTTCTTCGGCAGCTCCACCCCTGTGACTTTTCAGGGTACAGCCTCCCTCCTGGCTGCTTTCACAGGCTGGTGCCCCAGTAGGGACTCTGTGTGGAGGCTCTGACCCCACATTTCCCTTCTGCACTGCCTTAGGAAAGGTTCTCCATGAGAGCCCTGCCCCTGAAGCAAACTTTTGTCTGGACATCCAGGCATTTCCATACAGCCTCTGAAATCTAGGCAGAGGTTCCCAAACCTCAATTCTTGACTTTTGTGCACCTGCAGGCTCAACACCTCATGGAAGTTGTCAAGGCTTGGGGTTTGCACCCTCTGAAGTCATGGCCCGAGCTGTACTTTGGCCCCTTTCAGTCACAGTGGGAGTGTTTAGGACACAGGGCACCAAGTCCCTAGACTGCTCACAGCATGGGGGCCCTGGGCCTTGCCCATGAAACCATTTTTTCCTCCTAGGTCTCTGGGCCTGTGATAGGAGGGGCTGCCATGAAGACCTCTGACATGCCTTGGACACATTTTCCCCATTGTCTTGGGGATTAACATTTGGCTCCTTGTTACTTATGCAAATTTCTGCAGCCAGCTTGAATTTCTCCTCAGAAAATGGGTTTTTCTTTTCTGTCACATTGTCAGGCTGCAAATTTTCCAAACTTTTATGCTCTACTTCCCTTATAAAACTGAACGTCTTTAACAGCACCCAAGTCACCTCTTGAATGCTTTGCTGCTTAGAAACTTATTTGCCAGATACCCTAAATCATCTCTATCAAGTTCAATGTTCCAGAAACCCCTAGGGCAGGGGCAAAATGCTACCAGTCTTTTTGCTAAAACGTAACAAGCATCACCTTTGCTGTAGTTTCCAACAAGTTTCTCATCTCCATCTGAGACCACCTCAGCCTGGACCTTATAGTCTATATCCCTTTCAGTGTTTTGGTCAAAGCTGTTCAACAAGTCTCTAGGAAGTTCCAAATTTTCCCACATTTTCCTGTTTTCTTCTGAACCCTCCAAACTGTTCCAACTGCTGCCTGTTACCCAGTTTCGAAGTCACGTCCAAGTTTTCAGGTGTCTTTTCAGCAACGCCCCACTCTACTGGTACCAATTTACTGTATTAGTCAGTTTTCATGCTGCTGATAAAGACATACCCAAGACTGGGAAGAAAAAGAGGTTTAATTCGACTTACAGTTCCACATGGCTGGGAAGGCCTCAGAATCATGGTGGGAGGCAAAAGGCACTTCTTACATGGTGGCAGTAAGAGAAAATGAAGCCTCTCATTTTCGGATACCCCTGATAAAACCATCAGATCTCATGAGACTTATACTCTACCATGAAAAACGTTTGGGGGAAACTGCCCCCATTATTCAAATTATCTCCTACTAGGTCCCTCCCACAACATGTGGAACTTATGGGAGTACAATTCAAGATGAAATTTGGGTGAGGACACAGAGCCAAACCATATCAACCAACATGTGTGCCCAGTGAATATGAATGGTTAGCCCAAGGTTATTCAATTATGGTTGTCCCATTTCTTTATAATTTCACTATCCACCACTTGAAAGAAAATCAATGCTAAAGTGAAGACTGGAACATTTGTATTCAGCATCCAAATTATTCAAAGAAAAGCAAGAAAGAATAGTTGTATGCATAATTAGCCACAATAGACTGCAAGCTCCTTTGACAAGAAATGATTTCTTCTTTCCTCTGTATCTTAGACTTTTCCACAGTATCTGATAGTGCTCAATAAATATTCATAGAACCAAACTGAGAACAAAGATAGAACCAAATTAAACAAGGTGATAAATGCTTTGCAAATGGCATAAACAGAGAGAGGGGGTAATGAATTCTATTTTAGGGGGAAATAGATGCCATGAAGCCCCACAAAGGGAGTGACATCAGAGCCATACCCTGAAAAATGCATACTTTTATGTGGATGATTCAGAGCTGGGAATCTTGGATATTGGAGAGCAGAATTCACAGGAAGCTTCAGGAGATGAGACCAACAAGGATGACCAATGCCTGGGCCTCAATCCCAGGGGTTTTGGTTCAGTAGGTTCAGTAGACACAATTGGGGACCCAACTGTGTCTTTTTTACAAGTACCCATATGGTGCTGCTGCTGTTGCTTCAAGGGACCACACTTTGAGTAGCAAGGCTAGAGCTCAGGCAGAGGACTGGGGAGTTCTATGTTATTGGTATGCACTGTCCCTGTTGCCCCTAGAGCAATATGTCATTTTTGCAAGACTGTTTCTTTTGGTGCACGATAAACTCCTTAAGGTACATAGGACTCTTATCTACATAT